GTTCTCTGTGATCGCAGCTACAGGCCATTCAAGTCAAGGACCAGCCCTCAGTGAGATTCCACATAAAGGTCTTGGGTCTGATGGTAATCTTCTTTGAGGTGGTACCATATGCTTAGTTCCACTCTGGACCATTGAGCTTCTGGCTATGTGGGATAAACAGACTCATTCTTTGGCTTGGCCCATGCACCTGTCAACCAGGGTTGGTGGATCTCCAGTCCAAAATAGCCAGCCTACTGGGCTGGTGGGGTGTTCTAAGATTCTCAACTGTACAGGAGACCTGATCAGCGAGGGAAGCCAGACTACCCATCAGTGTAATGGAGTTGAGAGCAATTTAACTCTCCCTGCAGTACTGGACATGTCACCTTCAACTGGACATCCATTATTGGATTAGACGGATGACAGTCCAATCCAACAATGCCGTGGCATACATAAACCATCAAGGGGGAACTAGTTGTCACGCAGCTCAAAGAGAAGTGTGCTTGATCTTGGCTTTGGTGGAACTTCATGTCCCAGCCCTGTCCACTGTACACATTCCTGGAATGAAAAATTTGCAGGCGGACTTTCTCAGCAGACTGTAGACATTCGTTCCGAATTCAAATTCGGACGAAATTTCGGAAATTCTGACATTCAGATGTATCCGAATTTACGAATTACAGTTATAACGAATGCAAACAAATCTGAATTTCCGATTCCCAAATTCGTTAGCGGTAGTCTGGACGACATTTCGTTTGTTGGATGAAATTTTGTTGCAGCAAAGTGACATTAGACATTTTTTTAGTCTGCAGAAGAGGAAGAGGGGAACAAAGAAGTGTGAGGTTCCCCCCCAATTCATACTTGACCCTTTTAGGTCTGGTAGGAATGTTAGGAGGGACCCTCCCCCATGCCGATCCCCCATGCCGATGGGGACAAGGGCCTCTTTCCCACAACCCTGACCCGGTGGTTGTGGGGGTCTGTGGGCAAGGGGGCTTATTTGCATTGGGGTACCCCCCTATTTTATTTAACCCTTCTGCAGACCTATAAAACATTTTTTTCCCTATGTCATTTTGCTGCAACGAACGAAACATAAACTAAACGAAATTTCTACCGGACTACCGCTAACTAATTAAATTGTGGACACGAATCCCGGAAGACGAAATAATGCAAAATCCTAATCTAAACAAATTTTTTGCTGGTGCACATGTCTAGCAGGTAGAAGCCGGATTCATGGGAATGGTCTCGTCACTCAGTAGAGATCTGCTGCTGGCAGTCAGGCATAGACCGCTTTGCATCCAGACTAAACATAAAACTGGTCTATAGATCTGAGAGCATTTGCAGTGGATGCACTCCTGGCTCTGTGGAATCGGTACTCTCTGATCTACGTCTTTCCCCTATTAAACACAATTACTGAAAATGTAAAAAAAAAAAAAATTTACATTGTTATAATACATTTATTATTACCCAATTATTTGATAAAATATAAAAGACGCGGTCACGTCAGGTAAATGGACATCAAACATGTCAAGCCTTAAAATTGTGCGCACCCGAAATCGCAAAAAGACTACCATACCCAAAATTGAGCGCACAGACCGACACAGTATACAAACAATCCGCCGGCTATACAGCCGGTGGATCACTCGTATGTAAACAGGCATCGCTGCCTGTTTTTACATTTTGGTAGTTCCCCGCTGCCGGGTGGGTGGGGCTAACAGTCTGTCTTTAGACAGCCTGTCACATCCAGGAAGCATCCTGTCACCTCCCGGCCGGCCGTTGTAGTTAAATGGCCGGTGGTTAAATTATAAAACATTTATTATTACCCAATTTTTTGGTAAAATATAAAAGATGGGGTCACGTCAGGTAAATAGACACCAAACATGTCAAGCCTTAAAATTGTGCACGCCCATGAAACCTCAAAAAACTACAATACCCAAAATTGGTCATAGGCAACGCTTTAATAGCTTTTACCACTTTACTCATCAGTTTAGTGTTATCAGTGATTGAGGGCATTAAAATTATTGCTCGCACTCCAACGTTCGTGGTGATATGTAACGTGTAGTGCAATTGTAGTTTTTCTGATGCATATTTACGTTTGTGCATAAACATGGGAGTGGGGGACTTAAACATTTTTGGGGGGTTTTTACATGTTTTTAAATGTGACTTTTATTTTTATTTTTTTTATTTTTACACAATGTTATTGCTATCACATAGGGGGCTACCAATCCCCCTATGTGATAGCACAGGAGCACTGACAGGTCCTCTTTATGGAGACATTAGGTGACTCTGAGACCCCTGTCACCTGGGGACCCCCAAAGAAGCTGATGAAGCAGAGATTTACTTCACCAGCTTCTTCTCTGGCTATAGCAGCAAGATAAATGACAGCTGAATGCGGAAGTAATGTATTACACATAGCTTCCGCATTCAGACGTCAGAGGGAGATCAGCAAGGAGAAGGATGCTGAGCTCCCTCCCATCTTCCTCCTGACACCCATGTGAGCCGGTCCCAGGCCGGGATTGAGGTGAGGGTGCAGGAGGGGGGCGGTGGCACTCGAGGGGGTGGCGAGCAGGGCAGCACGTACAATCGATCGGATGGCTATAGAGCCGCCAATCGCTTGTACAACAGTAAACAGCTTTTACAACAGTAACAGCATTCAACAGTTTTTTTCTGCCCATGCACGCGGTAGGGGGGCGCGCGAGCAGGAAAAAAAAGCTGTTTATTTACGACGTTCCACCAATGGGAGCTTGCCACCCGTCCGTTTTTTTTACAACAGGCGGACGGAAAGCAGTTAATAATCCTTCCTTCCTTTTGTCCTGCCCTGAAACCTCCTAAGGAAGTCTTTATCCACTGTTTGGATATAGTCCGGGCTGTTCATCTTTATCTATGTTAAAGCTACATACCGGTATTCAAATTATATCTTTGTATTTCCTGAAGGACTTCATAGTGAGCTCCCTGCATTTTGTTCCACCATCTCAGGTGAATCAGTCAGGTGCATGCCTATTCTGCAAAAAAAGAAGGCTCTGCTTTTTCCTGTAAAGATGCACTTTACAAGATCTGTCAGTGATTCTCGGGTTTTCTGGCATCAAGCATCTGCGTTGCAGATTTGCAAGGATGCCACCTGGTCTTTTGCTAATAGGTTTACTAAATTCTACAAGGTAAATGTTTGAGCATCTGCGGATGCTAGTTTTTGCCTTATGGTGCTACAGGCTACTTTCTGATGTTGGGGGTTCGCCTGTTGGCGATTGTTTTGCTGTGTTGACCACCACTCTGTTTTATTGCTTAGGGATTTCTCAGTTGTCTCTGAATCTGCATGTGTCCTGTATTGTACGATCAAGAAATAGGACTTTTGACATACTAGTAAAACCTGTTTCTTGGAGTACAATACAGGATCACCAGCTCTATGTCCTCTATTGCGTGCCTAAAAATTTTTTTTTTCCTGGAGAGGGAGGGGTTATACGAGGGTCCTCACAGCTCTTGCCAGTGTCCAATCACCTAATAATAACGGCATATTACCCAGTCTTCTCTGAATCTATTTGTGTCTTGTACTGTATGCCAAGAAACAGATTTTACTGGTAAGTAAAAAAATAGGGATGCACCGATACCACTTTTTTGGGTCTGAGTACGAGTACCGATACTTTTTTTTATGTACTCGCCGATACCAATTACCGATACTTTTTCTTAAAGGGGCAGATCACATTTTTTCCAAAGCAATACAAAATAATGATTTTAGGTCAGTTTCTTAATATGAAAAACTGTAACTCAAAAGACAACATGACTGTCAGAAAAATAAGTTTACTTTGCTTAAATTGTCACAAAGTTGTATCTCAACGTGCCATTTGAAAAAAGGCCACAAGAATTGTGTAGAAAAGTGAAAAAACCTTAATTTAGCTTAAGACCTCATTCACACAAGTAACATCCCTATAAAAAACCCTTCTACATCTCAAGCATGCACCCCCAAAGCAATGGAATGAAATACATTATTGTATTTCCATATTATTTTATTGCATTGTCTAACTTTTTTATTTCTAATTTACCGGTGATTAATCTTTTATACAAGATAATTTTTTCATCTTTGTTAACAGTTATGGTTACTTACAAAAAATGTTTTACAACTAAATTGAGTTTTCCCTCCTGTATCAAATTTCAGGAGCTGCCAGTTGAGATTCTTTCATTGTATCCATCTGAAGAGAAATTTTCCAATTTATCTTGCTATTCGTTTTCTTTTGAAAAGACCACACTCTATTTTATGATGTGCAACTAGAATGCCTTTTTGTTTTTAAAAAAATTTAACCTATTATTTACATACTTTATATTTACACAAAGGGAAGAGGAAGCTCTCATTCAGACCATTTGAACCTTTAGAATACAGAATGAAGATCCATTTGGCTTCAGAATGCAACACTTGAAGGCCCCTGAATTTTAAGCCCACTGTCCTTGCTCCATGTTTCCCCCATATCAATATTGGGATTGGTTTGTCCTTTTTAAGAACATTTATCATTTATGTTCTATAATCCTCCTTAACTCTTATCCATATAGAGGTGAAGACAGAAGCATTTAGCTGTAATCCTGTAGTGCTGCAGTTTATAAAAGACTCAATCAGCCACTGTTCCATCATTTGGGTTTATAAACTGAGTGTATGTATCAACAACCTTTGCAATGCCCACAGTGATACAACCCTTTAAGTGGTTTTCACAGCCAATTTTTCTGTGGACTTCTTTTTTCTTTTTTTATTCACTTCAAAATGACAGTGTACAAATGTGTCTCCTAAATTTCTTTCTCTCCGATATGATATATATATCGGAATGCAATACAATGCGTTCCAGAGGCTGACCACTGTGGAACACATTGTTTATGGTGTGAACTAGCCCTCAGAGTGAAAGTAATACATGACTACAAAAATTAGAAAAATTGTCATGGAGTATATATAGTACAAAGCACTTATTTTATTTGCATTTCATAAGTGAAAAACTTTGTCTTGTGTTTTGTTTTGTGTTTTACTCAAGCATTTCTTCTTTTTTTTTTTTCTACAGATCCTTCTGTTAATAATTTTCATGTGTGTTACATTACTGATTGCTAGTCTTGTATGCCTTACATTACCAGGTAAGCATGTAAATGATTTTAAACTATTTAAAACATGTAATGTTATCTTGGAAGGTGAAACTCCAAGGTCATATGCTGGAAAAGGTGCACCACTCTTTGCTACAGTTGTTTCTTTTGTTCCAAAAGTAACTAAATGGGGTACCAGCATATCAAGTATAAAGGCAACAGCCAGATTCTATTTCTTGTGAACCTTTCCTTAAAGGATAAGTTCACCTTTTGCACCACGTTTGCAAAAATTAAAGACATGCATAAATGATAATATATTTAAAAAATGAATTTCTTTAATATTTACATTCAAGCCTGGAAAGCATTGCAATCGTGATCACTCGATCAGGGTGGCAAACCTCAGGGTCCTGCATATTTTCAAACTGCCAGAGTTTACACGGAGGGACGGAGTTTCAGTTAAGAGAGATGGGGGAAGGACGGCTGGAGTTCAAATTGCAATAAATCACCTCATACGGCTTCCAGCCGTCCTCGCTCTAGGTAGAGCTGCCCTTATTACCGCATCTACCTAGAGGGAGGATGGCATCCTCTACCCCCCTGCCGCCCCCATCTCTCTTAACTGAAACGCCGTACCACCGTACAAGCTCTGACAGTTTGAAAATGTGCAGAAGGCTGAGTTTTGCAGCTGTGATCTAATGATTACTATTGCAATGCTTTCCAGGCTTGAATGCAAATATTAAAGAAATGCATATTTTTAAAAATATATTATTAATTATGCATTTCTTTAATTTTTGCAAAATGCTGCAAAAAGTGAACGTATCCCTTAACATAGAGTCTGGATTTAAACAAATGTTAAAAAGTGGCAAAAGGTGTGAATGACAATTGTGAAAAAAAAAGTGAAAATCTCCCTGGGCATTGATAACACTGTGCAGATATATGTCTAAATTTGGATTTCTTAAGTAATTTAAACAGAGATGGCAACCACTTCACTAATTTATAATTGGCTATTAGTTTTGTATTCTGACAGAGGATAGATTTGCTTTGAGTTACTTTCTGAATTTTTTTGATAACCATAGCTAAATTATTTCTAACCATTATTATTTACCTAACCACTGAACCTTCACATTCTCACATAATTCATTCCCACAGCTACCTCATGTATCATTTCCCCCTCCTCTTTTAGATTGTAAGCCCTCAGGGGCAGGGCCCTCCTTACCATCTTGTCTTGAATTGTATTGTAACTGTTATGTCTTCCTTATATTGTAAAGCGCTGCGCAAACTGTTGGCGCTATATAAATACTATGTAATAATAATAATAATAATAATTTCAGACATAGTAGTAACATAATAGGTAAGGTTGAATAAAGACACAGGTCCATCCAGTTCAATCAATGCATATGTGTGTATATACAGTACTTGGCTCTAGTAGTTCCCATATCCTTGTATATTTAGTGAACTAAGAAACGCATCTAAAAGTTTCTTGAATTTACCAATGCTATCAGTGTATACTACTGACGGTGGAAGGGAATTCCACATTTTTCTACTCTCACAGTTAAAAAAAAAAAAAACCAAACCCTTGTGCAGTCTAAGCTTAAACCCCCTCTTTTCTAACCTCTTGTCTTCTTGTGTCGGCAATAGAGCTCTCGGTGTAAACATCCTATTCCAGATATTGTGGTCCCCATGAATGATTTTGAAAATTGCAATTAGACCCCCTCTTAAACACCTCTCTTCTAAGGAGAACAAGTTTAATTTCTGGAGTCAATCTTTATAACTCAGGACTTCCATCCCCTTTATTAATGTTGTAACCCTTCTCTGAACTCCCTCTTGTTTGAGGACGCCTTTTCCGGAGGGTTGGTGACCAAAACTGAACCACATACTCATGGTGAGGCTTTACCAGTGATTTATAAAGTGGTAAAATTATATTTTAACCCTTGCTTAAATCCCTCTTTTATTGCAGCATAGTATCCTGCTTGCTTTGCTGGGATTTTTAGTCCTCAATATCTTGTTGCCATTCGGCATTGCTGTAAAATGTATAGCTGGGATTTGTAGTCCTCTATAGCTGGTGGTTTTCTGCATTGCTGTATAAAGTATAGCTGGGATTTGTAGTCCTTTATAGCTGACAATTTTTTTTGGCATTGCTGTATAATGTATCACTGGGATATGTAGTATTTTTAGTCCCTCTACAGCTTGGAGCCAATTACAGAACTACCAGGGGCACAGCGTTTGCAGATGGGATCAGGCCCTGGAACTTCACCACTGTCCTAAAATCATTAGTCTGTGTTGTTTTAGAAAAACTGTCCCATGACACTAAAAAAAGTATTGGTAATTGGCATTGGTGAGTACTTGAGGAAAAGTATTGAATTGATACTCACACTTGGTTGGGAAAAAATGGTATTGGTGCATCCCTACTAAAAACATAACATAACATAAAATCAATATTTTATGTCCACAATATCAATCTGTGTATACAATTTCCAACATCCTATAACATGATTACATGACAATGATGTATATGTTGTAATCATCTTATATGGTGTTGGAAAGTGTATGCTAAATAGCACCTGAAAAGCCCCATGTCATTGGTATAAACTTTGCAATCTATTGCTGAATCTGCGATCTATGAGGACCCCCCCCGGTCTTTCTCCATGTCCAACATCCCCAGTGGAGCACCCCCTAAGTAGTAGTTTGCATGCACATTCTTTGCTCCCATGTGTACAACCTTGCATTTTTGAATATTAAATTGCATTTGCCATCTTGCAGCTCACACCTCAATTTTATCTAGGTCTTGATGAGAATGTACTGCCCTGCACAGTTTAGTATAATTCGCAAACACTGAGAATGAACTATTAATTCCAATCTCTATATCGTTTATAAATAAGATAAACAGAATTGGTCCCAAGACCGAACCCTTGGGCGCCCCACTCACAACTTTTGCCCAGTTAGAAAATGAACCATGTATTACTACCCTCTGTATTATTATGATTATTATTATTCAGGATTTATATAGCACCAACAGTTTGTGCAACGCTTTTCAAAATGGAGGGAGACATTACAGTTAACAATAAAATGTCAATACAGGAGGGTTAGTAGGGTCCTGCTCGTGAGAGCTTACAATCTAGTAGGAGGGGCAAGTGATACAAAAAGTAATAATTGTGTGGGATGATTTAATGGAAGAAGTGAAAGGACAGTTATATCGAGGAGGAATAGTTTTCCCTGAAGAGATGCGTTTTCAAGGATCGCCTAAAGGTGGACACAGTAGAAGATAAGTGGACAGATTGGGGTAGTGAGTTCCAGAGGATGAAAATCCTGGAGGTAAGCATGGGACGAGGTGGCACAAGCAGGAGGTCTTGGCAGGAACAAAGAAGGAGGCGGTTTGGGTGATATTTTGAGATGAGGTTGGTGATGTAGTTTGTGGCAAAGTTGTAGATGGCTTTGTATGTTATTGTTAGTATTTTGAATTTATTTGTTGGGCAAATGGGAGCCAGTAGAGGAACTGGCAGAGAGGGTTGGCAGACGCTGATTGATTGGTAAGGTGGATGAGTCTGGCAGCAGCGTTCATGATAGACTAAAGGGGGTATAGCCTGTTTAGTGGTAGTCCAACAAGGAGGGAGTTACAGTAGTCGAGGTGAGATTACAAGGAGTGAATTAGAAGCTTAGCGGTGCCATTTGTTAAAAAGGGTGAATTTTGGAAATGTCATGGAGGTTGAGTTGGCAAGATTTAGATAGTGATTGGATGTGGGGCTGAAAGGAGAGCTCAGAATCAAGGATTACACTGAGTACCCCGGCTTGGCTGTTGATTGTGATGGAGAACTCGGGGGAGGGGACAGGAGAGGAGGGAATATTATAAGTTCAGTTTTGGACAGATTTAGTTCGAGGAAGAGCATGCATCCAGTTTTCCACCCATGTACATACAATTTCATCAAAACAGATAGACCTTAGTTTGTGAATTAAACGGTTGTAGGGTACTGTATCTAATGCTTTAGCAAAGTCAAGATATACCACGGCTACTGGTATTCCTCTGTCTAAATTAATACTTACTTCCTCATAGAATGGTAATAGATTGGTCTGATAAGAACGGTCCTTCAGTCATGTTGGTACCCTCCCCACTTATACCATTTTCATAGGCAAATTCCTTCATATAGTCCCGTATCATTCCTTTGTTTTTTGTTTTCACTATTGATGTTAATTTCACTGGCCTATAGTTACCAGTTGTACTTTATTTCCCTTTTTTGTATATTGGTACCACATTCGCTTTCTGCCAATCTGCTGGTACTATACCTTATATTAAAGTGTCCATAAAGATTAGGAACAATGGTCTGGCTATTAGGTGGCTAAGTTCCTTGAGCACCCGTAGATGCAACCCATCTGGTCCCGAAGATTTGTGTACATTTAATCTTTCTAGACTTTTTTTTTTTACGATACGTTAAATCTTCTGTTACTAGATGCCTTGCTTATTAACCCCCGTCTGACTCTTCTGTAAAGACAGAAGCAAATCATTCTGTTTAACACATCACCTTTCTCTCTGTCACTGGTAGCCGACTTCCCCTTTTCATCTTTTATGGGGCCTAAATGTTTTGCCATTACCTTTTTACTATTTATATATTTAAATAATTTATTGGGGTTTCTTTTGTTTTCTGTTGCTATGGGGTCTATTCACGATGCTGCCGAGGGCATGACCGATCTGAAGTGAAGTGAGTCAAACACTGTTCGGCTATTCACTTCAGGCTGGTACGGTTAATATTTCATACTCTTCCTTTTTTTTTTGCTGCCCTGATTGCTCTTTTGCATCTTTTTTTGTAGTGTTTGAACGCTGATGGTGGTGACCCCTCTGTCTTATTTTTTTTGAAGGCCATTTTTTTTCTCTTTTATATATTGCTTTCGTTTGCTAGTTAACCACCCTGCTTTAACTTTTTCTGTTTTGAATGTGTTGCTAAATGAAATGTACTGGCGAATGTTATATAAAATTTTCTTGAAACATTCCCACTTGTCCTTAGTGTTCATATTCAGGAAGATTTGGTCTAGCTTTTTTTTTAATTCTCTTTATTAGAACAAGCTTT